CACATCCTTCACATGGAGCAGGCAGTGTGGCATGATGGACAGGCACCGCTGAGGCTGTATCCACTGAGAACAAGGTTGCCCGAAGTATAGTCAAGAGAGGAAAGAGTACGTATGGACAAATAAAAACAGCAGGATACTGAACTATGTGCTCATCCTTCACATGGAGCAGGCAGTGTGGCATGATGGACAGGCACCGCTGAGGCTGTATCCACTGAGAACAAGGTTGCCCGAAGTATAGTCAAGAGAGGAAAGAGTACGTATGGACAAATAAAAACAGCAGATGATACTGAACTGCATTGTCCAAAGCCTCTAAATATTAGAACTATCCACCCAGTGATTGTCGATAGATTTGGGAGGGAGCAGGCACTGTGCAAAAGTTGAAAATGCAGCAAGCATTAGGAGTCCCTGTCCTTGAGTTGATAGAATTCCACAGCAGTTTAAAGAAGGCCACTGCCTACAGCAGGAGTGAGGCTTCTACCACCAACTGTGAGGTCCTTGTCCAGACTCAGAGAGGAATGGAATGAGCGATGTCGGCCCACTGGGGCAAGCAGGCCAAGATTATTTATTAACAGGAGACGGGGACTGTGTCTCACACTCACATAGCTCTCAGATTCCAGGGGCTTTTGGTAGCATGAAACCTTTAGTTATGAGGAGTCAACGAATGCTTGTTAGTTTGAAAGAATCAAACTCCTTTCTGACATAATTATAGTTAAGAGTTTGGGAGTTCTGAGATCGAGGACTCCTTCTGGCACCTCATTGTATCGGTTACTGTAACAGCAAAGTGAACATGGCCAGTTGTAATCTTTATGGTACCTACTTCATGAAGGAGATGAAAATAAAGCCATGTGCCAGTGAAAGCACTTTGAAAGTTAAAAAATAAAAGCGCATTTTTCATCATTACCTTTTGACAAAGTTTAAAAAAAAATGCTTATATAAGGCATGGTGTTGCATGCTGAGAGAGTCCTAGCACTTAGGAGGCTGAGGCAGGAGGATTGGTATGAGTTCAAAGCCAGCCTGAACTACATATAGGAAGACCTTATTTCAAACAAACAAAAAAAGCCTGCGATCCAAAAACCTGCTCATATCTCTCATAAATGATTCAATTGTGGAATGTGTTTTTTAAAAATTGCCTATGAACAAAAATTAAAAGTTATCATGAAAACTTCTGGTTTCATGCTGGTAACATTTTAATTATTCCAAGTTATTTTTCCTAAAAGACCATCTTTTGTCAAAAGTACATAGCCTCTTAGAATTATTTTTCATTTTGCCATTTTTTAATATAAAAAATTCTAACCACATTGACAAAAAAAAAAAAAACTAGACAACAGTCAAGCTAAAACAAATTCACCATACTTTGTCTTAATTGTCAGGATTTTGATGTCTTTCTTCCCTAAGTTTGAAGCACGTTTTAAATGTAATAATTACAGAGTGAAAACAAATAGAATCATGGTTTTCATTGATTTTTTTCATATAGTAAACATTTTTCTTTGTCACTGCATAACCAGCTATTTCAGTGACTTAACCAGCCAGCCCTTGAGGGACTAAAAGGAAAGTCTCTGACAGGAACGCCTTCATTCCTTAATCAGGGCCTCACAGCTAACCAGAAAGGAAAGTGAGAGTTCCAGGCACTGCCTGGTACAACACTGGAAACCAACTCCAACTCCAGCCAGTCCTTTCCTATTGTGTTCCAATCACTCTGACAAGGGAAATATAGCTGAAAGCTGCATTCATTTCAGTCTCTACTCCTCTGGCTTTAGAGCTTGTTGCTTAAAATACCAGCAAGCCTCAGGGGTAGGTTTGTCCCAGACTGTCCCAGTTTTAGCAATGATCATCCTGCATCCTGGGAAACTCCTCAGTCTGGGGCGGACAGGGAGAAGAGTTGGTCCTCCTACAGGGAGAGAAGTGGGTGAGTGCGTGCTTTTCATGTTCGGCCAGTGTGTCAAGCTTTGGTGCTGCCCTGGGACTTCGAAGGTCAGGATGGAGTTAGGAACACAGCCACGCACACCTGGCTTCTCCACTCACAGGCAGCCTCTCACTCACCCAGCCATCCTACAGTGGCAGCCTGCAGGCACAGCATATTCTTATGGGGAGTTAAGGGAATACGTATAAATTTCAATAAAAATAAAAGCACTGGGATTCTTATATTGAATGCTGGCCACCTTTAATGCCAGCTCTAAAATCACTTTGCTTGATCATTGCATTAGTCAGGATTCTCAGAGGAATAGAACCAACAGAATCTATATCATTGTAAGAGAATATGTGTTAGAATACCACACACAGTCAGAAGCTCGTCACACATTGGCCATCTGCAGGCTGGGGGAGACCCAGTGAAACCAGTAACTGCCCAGTCCAAAATCTGGGATCCTCTGAGGGACCAATGATGCAGTCCCATTCTGAGGCCAAAGGTCCAGAGGTCCCTGGAGAGTCACTGGTGCGAGTCTGCCATTAAAGGATGAAGAGTCTGGAGTCTGGTATCCACCGGTGATGGCAAGAGCAAAAACTGCACCCACTCAAGAGGCCCGGCATGGGCACATGTGCAGGTTTACTCCTGCTTTTGCCGTCTTTGTTCTATCCAGGACCCCCGCCCATTGGATGGTGCCACTCGCATTCAAGATGTGTCTCTCTTCCTCAGTTCACTGTCCCACATGTTGTTCATCTTTGGAAGCATCCTCACAAACATAACCACAAGTGAGCTGTAACCAATTTTCTAGGCATCTTCTAGTCCAGTCAAAATGACAAAGAAGACCAAGCATCACAATCATTATTCTGTTTGTTGTTATTGCATTTGACTTAAATGCCCTTTGCTTTGCAAAGAATGGATTTCCAATTGCCCCCCAAAGGTAGGCCTTTTACATATTGCATGCACAGAACTATGCAGTTCAGACCTCCACTGCTTTGTTCCAGAGAGTTGGTGCTCTTGTTTTAACGAGTCTTAACAAGAAGGGGCATAGCTCATTTCAGTTCAACAGATGGATCCTGTACTCCCGTGCCTATAAACCTGTTTTTTCTTGTAATTTGTGGATTTTGCTATTGCCCCTTCAAAATAAAAGAAAATTCACATTGACTTTCAAACATAGTACTGATTGTAAAGGGAGCTAGAAGGGATCTTCTGGAAGAAGATGCAGGCTACATATAGTGGTTGTGGAGAACAAAAATAGATAAATATTTGTATATTTGCCTATTAATCAGCACATTTTGAACGGATACTAAAGGAATTGCTTTATACGTGATTATCCTTCTTAACCATCTATAATCAGGCCTTCCTAGAATGGCAAAGTATTTAGGCCTTGTTCACTGGTACCCATCATATATAATTGCTTCCATACTGTTGGCCAAAACAGCTGTAGAAGGTTTTGCATAGGCCATAGGTACTCAAGGCCTTATAAACAGTGCAAATATTTTGTTGATGTAGTTGAGCAGAATTTTTAAAAGAAGCTTTAAATCTATCAGAACTTTTTCCTGTGGGTGTCTGTGTAGGAGCGTGGGCTGGTAATGGTGACTTGTAACATGAAAGGCTGCATGTTCTGCACTAGAGGCCCAGAGCTCTTTCATCTTAGTCTAAGTCCTGTCCTGCTGCTGCTTGAGGATTTGGAGTGTGTAAAAGTCCTGGGCTTTTTAATTATGTTTAAGCCTTTCAAGAAGCCTGTACCATGAAGGAAGAGTTGGAAACATATGCAGGGAGCATTTGATACCCATATTGAGGAGTCAGCCAAAGTCTGTACTTAGCCCCAATCACAGCCTCTGAAGAGATCAAAGGTCACATGGAGTTAGGGAAAACCATTCTGTTGCATAGAGGGTCAATACTTTGACTAATATTCTGTTAGTTTCATAACATAACATAAGAAGAGTAGGAAACAGAGCAATTACTCAGATTTCTACCACCTAAATCAATTGTATTACTTTTTTCAAACTTCATTTTGTTTATGTAAATGGATATGCCTATTTTATACTCATAACTGTGATATATACCTTAGATTTGACTTTCCACTTTCATACTTAACGTCGCGTATAAGATAAGCATTTCTCACATTGTGATGTGGTTCAAAGATTTTAAATGGGTTTACAATATCAAGTGGATTTCCTCTACTCCTGTTGAACTACTTAGTGATTATAAGACTTTTAGGTTGTGTTTTGAGTTCTTAGAATGACATTCAATGAATATAGTTATATAATTTTTACCTAGTTGGGCTTATTTTTATAGAATACACTCCATAAATTGGGATTACTGGAACAAAGAATCTCAAGATTTTTAAATCTTTTCACTCAAGTTGAAAATTGGTGCGTAAAGGGAAGAGTTACTTCAGCATTGTTTTTCCTATGATATCCATCAGTTTGTGGGGGGAGATTGCATTTGGGGACTAAAGGACATTTCTTACATTTGACAAGTGGCATCATATTTAAGAAAAGTATTTCATGGAAGTGAAATAGCAGGTATAGCTTCTTCTGATAGGTGACAGATCTGAGGCCACATCTGTCTTTCTGCTTCAAAAATTATAGTTGTTACTGAACTCATTGTAGGAGGACAGAGCAATATGGATTAGCAACACCTGAGAGAAATCCCCATTTGCCATCTCCTGCAGGGTCTGAATGTGAAGTTAATGAAATTCAAGTCTTGTGAAATCCTAAGTATAGTATTAAATAGTTTCACTAAAATACAATCAGAGTCCCAGCTATACAATCAAGTGAAGCACACATACAGGCATAATATATATTTCCCTAGATAATACAACACAAATATTTTTGCAACCAAGAGCAGCCCTTTGTCAATTACTATGAAGAATAAAACCTTTAGAAAAATGCAGTGCTTGCAACAAGGTTGCTGGTATATATGGCCCTCTGAAAGGAACTGACACTCTGATCGCCAGGCTGGCTTCTTTGAGCACTGTACCTGAGAAGTTGAAGTTTCCTTTTCTCTCTCAATGGCTCACTTTCTGTTCATATCAGTTCACTGACTTCATTTTCTGAATCTTGTGTTTTCTGATGGCTTGATTTCATTTCAGGTTCTGCTCTACAATGGCCAGCTTGACATCATCGTGGCAGCTTCCTTGACAGAGCGCTTCTTGAGGACCATGGACTGGAAAGGGACCCAGCAATACCACAGGATAGGAAGAAAAGTTTGGAAGATCTTTAAATCTGATAGTGAAGTGGCTGGTTACGTCCGGCAAGTGGGTGACTTCCATCAGGTATGAAAACACTTGGGGACATACATTCCTGGAAATGAGATAGTAGGATTGAAACTAAAACCCAAGTGCCAGTAAGACAGCTGGCCTAAGCAAGTCATGTATATAGCAGCCAACATGTTTCTTTTGTAGCCCAACTTTCTACAGATAATAGTGGTCTAAGTTTATATTAAAGTACATAGGAATAGTGCCAAGCACAGTGGCACGTACCTATAATCACAGTGCTCTGGGAGGCTAAGGTAGGGGGATCACAAGTTTAAGCCCAACCTGCACAACTTAGGGACTTAGTGAGACCCTGTCTCACAGTAAAATAAAAAGGGCCGAGGGTGTAGCTCAGTGGTAGGGCACTTGCCTAGCATGAGTGCAGCCCTGGTTAAATCCCCTGTACTAGAAGAAATTAAAAAGTACATAAGACTTGATGTCAAAGCAGAGACAGTCTAGACTTTGTTCAGGAGATAAGAAAATAATTTAAAAAGACAATACTTGGCCTAAGGAGAAAATGATTAGCAAGAGTCTATTTGGGAAATAAGTGGAGTTTAACAAAGGAAGTGTCCGCAGAGTCTCTCTGGCAGATCTGTGGCCACACTTTTGAATCACATATGCAGGCTTTGGACAAAATCTCTGTAGCTGATGTGCAATCTCAACTTCAGGAATCAAACATTAGTCATGTAATTTTCTTTTAACATCCTTTTCAATTTTGGGAATAAGAGCACTCTGGCTTTGTGAAACAAGTCAGGAAGCATCTTCCCTCTTTTAAGTGTCTCAGTTAGATCTTTCAAATGTTGGAAGAAGCCATTGGGGAAGCCTCCTTGCTCTGATGGTTTCTTTGAAGAAGGCATTAAATTACAGATTCAGTTTCTACGATTGATATGGGATTAAGCACCTTTCTATTTCTTCATGTATTAGTTTTCAGAGGCTGTAATTTTTTTTCAGAAATTTATTTTATCTAAAATTTCAAATTTATGAGCATAAAGCTGCTTTTATAATGTCATCCTATGGTCAATTAATGTCTCTTGAAGTCTGTAATAACATCAGTAATTGTTCCTCTCTTGCCTGAGATATAACAAGTCTGTTATTTTTCTCAAAGGACCAATTTTTGTCTTATTTGACCTTGTTGTATTTTTCTTTCTGTTTTATTAATTTGTGCTTTTATCTTATTTTCTTCTTACTATTATTTTTCTAGTGTGTGATTTAATACTCTTTTTTCTTTAGCTTTTTCTTAGAACATGAATTTTTAGCCTTTCTTCATTGCTAATAGATGCATTCAATATGTTGAATCTCTTAAGACTGGCCTTAAGTGCACCCTAAAATTCATAATGGTTTTATTATAATACAGTTTAAAAGAATATAATTTCTGTTCTGTTTTATCCCCTTTGGCCAATGGATTATTTTAAATCATATTGCTCAATTTCCTAACATTTTGCATCTACTGTTCTTGCATTTATTTCAAGACTAAGAAAGCATACTCTGTTACAGCTCTGTGGTCAAAAAACATATCCTTTATAATTTCAGTCATTTCAAATTTGCTAATACATTTTGAAATACTACTTTAAATGCTGATTATATTATACATATTTATATTTATATTATATATATTCTTTGTATACTTATAAATAGTATATATTCTCCAGTCATTGGTTGTAATGTGTTATATGTCAAGTAGGACAATTTTGAACAGTTTTGTTGTTCATTTCTTCATATCTCTCCCCCCATCTTAGTTCTTTATTTGTCCCATTAGTTTAGCAGGAGAGATCTGTTAAAATCTCACAGTAGAGATTTTTCTGTTTCTTCTTTTACATCCATTTTTACTTCTTGTTGTTAACTAAATACAACTATAGGCATGTTATACATTCCTGGTATTAAATCTTTTATTCTTATGCAATGTCTTTTTTATCTGTAGTAATGCTTCTAGTCTTAAGGTCTAAATTGTTAGTAGTAGTGTAACTATGCCAACTTTCTTTAAAAGCACATACATGAGATATCTTTTTTTTTTCAATTTTTCTTTGAAATTTCTATACCCTTATATTTAAATGTATCTCTTTGAAGCAGTAGGTAGTGGGGTTTTATTTTTGATGGATCCTGACAATATTTTTTAATTGAAGTAACCCGTTTACATTTGATATAATTGCTGATTTTTAAAAATCCACTAGTTTATTATTTGTTTTCTATTTGTCCCATATGCTCTGTGTTTCTTTTTTCATATTGCATTCTTCTGTATTATTCAAGCCTTTAATTTTTATTTTATTATTCTTGGAACAGGGGGTCAAACTTGGGACTTTGAGCTTGCCAGGCAGGCGTTGGCACCCGTGACCTAAATCTCTAGCCCTCTTCTGTATTATTCAAGTGTTTTATATAATTTTACTTTTCCTCATCGACAGATTTGTTAGCAATAAATTATTCATTGTGTTTAGTGATAATACTAACATATAATATAAATTCTAGCCTCATTTAATCTAATATAAATTAGAATGTCACCACTTTTCAGACAAATGTAAGCTCTTCAGAGCAGTTAATCTTTTTTTTACTCTCTATCCTGCTTTTTCTGATTTTAAAAATCTGTATCTAGTTTAGATACAGACATTATTTACAGCATTTGATACAGCAGTAGTCACTGACTGTCATCCACACATATTCTCCCTTTTTCAATTATTCTTCATTTCTTACATTTCTGGCTTAAATAAATCTCCTTAGTGTTTATTTTAGAAATATTATGGTGACAACAGTGTCCCTGTTTTTGTCTTAAAATGTCTTTCTGTCCCTTTTAATTGCGAAGGAGATTTCCTATGTAACAGAATGTTAGCATGGCAGATATTTTCTTTCAGCAGATAAAAAAAGATATTGCTCTGTTGTCCTCTGACTTGCACACCAGTTCTGAAGGTGGTCCTTGTTTTATTTTGAATTTTTTTCCTACCTACTTTTAAGATTTCCTGGTTTTGGTTTTCCAGAAATTTTACGCTTTGTACGTAACATGGTAATACATGTATATATCTTGCTTGGGTTTCTTGGGTTTTTTGAAACTATGGTTTGAACTCTTTTGTTATATTTGGAAATTTTTCAGTCATTCTCACTTCAAATATTGCCTTTCTCCTTAAGGCTGTACTTATAGGGATATTAAACCTTTTTATTTTATCTTTTATAGCCCTATTTCCATCCCTTTTTCTCTGCATGTTTCAGTTTTGATATTGTCTATTGACATTTCTTTTACTTCTCTATTCTTCTGTAGTTGAGGAAGGAAAGCTTCTGTCTGAGAGAGACAGAAAGGGGACCGGAAAGTGGGTTTCCCCTGTGTGTGTATTTTTATTAGTGTATGTTTCTGTTACAAGATAGTGATGTTCATTTGTGTGAATTGGTACGTGCATATATCATATCTTGATCTCTTTCAGTCCCTCTCTTTTTCTTCCCTTATCCCTTAATCCCCTTCCTTATCCCGAGTCTTCTAGTTTCCTGTGATCTCTTATTTTATTAATTTATAGTTTAAGTTTCTCATGTAATAGAAAGCATGTGATATGTAACTTTCTGAGTCTTAGTTATTTCCAGAGAAATAAGACTGTTGATCAAAAGTTCTATTCATTTCCCTGCAGATGATATTATTTCATTTTCTTTATGGCTGAATAGTAGCCTATTGTGTGTGTGTGTGTGTATATATATATATATATATATACACACACACACACACACACCACATTTTCTTTATTGATTCTTGTGTTAACAGGCATCTAAGCCATTTCTAGAGGTTAGATATTGTGAATTGCATTGCTAGAAACAGGATTATGGATGTATCACTATAGTCTGATGTCTTTAGTTCTTTCACGAATATACCCAGCAGAGGTATAGCTGGGTTAAGTGGAATTTCTACTTTTAGTTTTCTGGGGAATCTCCATACTGATTTCCCTAGTGGATTCCTTTTCCCCATATATTTGTCAGCATTTGTTGCTTTTTATGTTTTTGATGATAGCCCTTCTGACTGGGGTAACATGAACTCTCAAAGTTGTTTTGATTTGCATTTCTCTAATGACTGAACACGTTGAACATCTTTTTTTCTATGCAATTCATCTGCCTGTTTTTGGATGGGCCATTTGGGGTTTTTCTTTTGGTTCTGTATATATTCTAGATATTAGTCCTCTGTCAGAAGAGTGGCTAGCAAAGCTTATCTCCCATTTTGTATGTTGTCTTTTTACTCTGTCAGTTGTTTCCTCTGCTGTGCAGCTTTTTAATTTGACGTAATCCCATTGTGGGTTCTTGATATCATTTCCTGTAGTATTGGAATTCTATCCAGAAGTCTTTGCCTGTACCTTTGGCTTCAGGTGTTTCCCCTGTTATATTCGAAAAGGTTCAGTTGCTGGTTTTATATCTAGGTCTTTGATCCATTTTCATTTGATTTTAGTACAGCATAAGAGGTAGGAATCCAGTTTCAATCTTCTGTAAGTTAAAATTTTTTCCCATTTGTTAAAGAGGCTACCTTTTCTTCAAAGTATTTCTGTGGCCCCTTTGTCACAAAATCATGTAGCTGTAGTTTCATGGGGTTGTTTCTATATCACCTGTTCTAGTCCATTTTGTCTGTATGTCTGTCTTCATACCAGTGCCCTGCTATTTTGTTACTACAGATGTATGGAATAACTTGAAATCCAGTACTGTGATGCCTCTAGCTTCTCTCTTTTTTCTTAGGACTGCTTTGATTATTCTGAGTCTTTTCTGATTCCAAACAAATTTTAGGATTATCTTTTCTATTTTAGTGAAGAATGCTGTTGTATTTTAAAAGGCATTGCATTAAATCTATAAGTCACTTTTGGCAATACAATTATTTTAACAATGTTAACTTTACTGACTCAAAAACAAGGGATGTCTTTCCATTTTCTAATATCCTTTTCAATTTCTTTCCTCAGAGTTTTATAATTTTCATCATAGAAGTTTTTCACCTCCTTGCTTAGGTTCATTCCTAGGAATTTATGTTTTTTAAAACTATTATGAATGGAATTATTTTCCTGACTTCTTTTGCAGTGCCT